TTTAAAGCTTATTCGCAGGTGCAGATGCCACAGAGTGTATAAACTGGTCCTTGTAGTCTGTGTTAATGCACTACTCCAGAAACATTTCCTTCGCCTGACTGTTATGCCTGAAATCACTGTCACCACACCTTGCATAATACATCTTTGTGTGTGTCAACTGGCCTTTGTCAGTTTACTACTTCTAACCATTCTGTCATCCAAATGAGAGCACATTTCATTAAAGACCTGCTTAATGCTGAAATACAATGTGTGTATCTGTTTAAATGAGACAGAAAGATATGATTGCAAGGAGCCATATGTGTGTGCATGCAGTGTGTGTGAGTGTGTGTGTAATTTTTCAGGGTACACCCATGTGGTGAGTTTTTGTGTTTGAGTAAACAAAAACTGCCCGAAAATGTAAAACAAACTCACTTCATGAGAGGTCGCACACACGAAGGCATTGTAATCACTTCCACTTGTAAAATTCCTTCAGACACATATAGCTTGAATCTATGTGCCTATATTTGTTTCTGTTGTATATAGAGTGTGTGTTCTGCTTCTGCTGGTGTTACTAACAGATCCCAGTCAGTGTCACCTCCACCTAAACCACTTCTGCCTCTTGACCTCCACCCTTTTTGGACATAAAATCACTTACACATACACACTAGAAACAATCTCTTATTGATGCAGTATGGTTGGTTGCTGGTGAAGCTGATGGCGTTTCAGGGCACAGCCCTGGAAACTTTACTCAGTGATCTCACTCAAGTAAGAATAGACCGGAGAGATTAAACACAAATGCACAACTGAGAACATCCAACAGCCACAAGGGCATAGATGATTTGAGAGGAGGCGTCCTCCTCTTTCTGACAGATCAATTTACTTTAATGCATGAATGTAGGAGAAACTGTAGAGACTCAAAACATCATAAAGGTTATCTATGGGGACACATTGGATAGAAGATTCAACAAGAAAATCATATATTTTATAGAACAGTTTACCTCTTTTTCTCTTTAATGGTGCTCATACAATTCATGATAATATAATATCAGATGCACTCCACAATAAAATGCAGTTTAACACCACACAAAATGGGCTCGAATATCAACCTACAGTTGTGTTGAAAACTCAACCGTTACGTCATACAGTTGACAATATTTACTGAGGGGCGGGATAGCATTATTTTATAAGTAAATAAATGTCCTGCTGTTTTGTTCATTCCCTGCAAATTCCAAAACATAAAATTGTTGAAGAGAGTGTCAGCAAAGCAGAGAAAATGTTAACAGCCCATGACAGCATGCTGTCAGTGTCATATAAATGCCTACGTATTAAAAAGGAAAACATAAAAAACGAGACCAAGGAAACCAATAAAACAAAATGTTTTATATGCATGCAAACCCTGATGATCAATATCCAAAGAGAAGGAGAATAAATATTACCATAAATGACTTCAACTTAACAAAATATGGAATCATATTTAAGCAGCACTGCTGTAACCACAGCATGCACTCAGATGTGGTAAGTTATCAAAGCAAACACAAAATAGCTGTCACCACAAAGAATTGCTGAGGATACACAGACTGACGGTTACATGAACAGACCTCACTATATGATAGAAAACTTCCATGTACATGAAACAGAAAAGGAAACGCTGACACATAGAGCCTGACAGTTAACATGCAATATGCAGCCTTGCGAGGCAGAAAACAGGAACATGTTTTATACCAGCGGCTCTTAAACGCTGAATCAAATGAAACTGTTTCTGGGTCTCTGCGCTGAGGAAGAACACACACATATACAGTCCAGCAAATGTTGGTACATAGGAGGTCGACTTATGAAATGTCATGTGTGTCACTGTTGCCATGTCTTTATTGCATCCACTTACTCCCTCACACATTTGTGCAATGGAGAAACAGTCCTGTGGCAAAAGTGCTTGATATATTCCCGTTGCTCCTCTGCTACAAGGAATATCTATGCCCAACAGAAACTATATATTCTGCTGATTTATTTTTATTTTTGGTAATTTTCAAAATGACAACAAAATTAAATTTGGTGACAGCCGTTTTAATGTGTATAGTATAAAAGTAATGCAGCATAAACACATTTTCAGAACAGTTTCTCAGAGGCTCAGTTGGCACTGACAGCTACCAAGGTTTAAAGAGGTGGTATTATGCTCATTTTCAGGTTCAAAATCCTATTTAGAGGTTGTGCCAGAACAGGTTTACATGGTTTAATATTCAAAAAACACCATATTTTTTTGTCATACTGCACATTGTTGCAGCTCCTCTTTTCACCCTGTGTTAAAGGCTTCGTTTTAGCTATGGAGTGATACATCTTGTCTCTAAAGGATCTTTGTTGGGATTTGCACATGCGCAGTTTGTAGTTAAGGACTACTAGCCAATCAGAAGCAGAGAAGGGCGGGTCAGCGAAAAGCCGGTAATAGCCAATCAGAAGAAGAGATGGGCGGGTCAGCTAAAAGATGGTTAACAGCTTTGGTTCAGCTGTAGGCTACATTGACTGGAGCAAGAGTTTCAGAGTGGTGAGTTATTATTCTGTAACAAAAGTATCTTTCATCCATAAAGTTTTAACTGAGCTCTGCTACATCACAGTAACAACTTTATGTCCACTGACTGCCTGGAGGGTAGCTAGTGTTTGGAAGGGAGAGGAGGTGTGTGCTGCAGCTCAGTGTTTTTCCACCAGTGTTTTTGAAGGAGTGTCCAAGTAGCCGCTTGGCGAGCATTATGATGCGCATTTTGCGGTGATGTCACAACAAAGCGGAAATAAAGGCTGGACTACAAACAAGCTGTTTTCAAGCAGTTCAGAGCAGTGTTCTGTCGGAGAGGGAAAAAGACAAAAAGCATAATAAAAGACTTTAATAAAAGTCTTTAAGGAATATCAATCTGTATAGTTACAACTCTCATGATACCTCCAAGTTCATGCCAAGTTCCAGGAACATAGAAGCCATTTTAATTAATCTGTAGGTTGCTTATTTAGGAGCCTAAAATTACCTTTGACTATGCAAATCTCCAGAGAAAAGGTTTTTTCGCAGGCGTCTTTATTTTTCTCAGTCTTACCATATGACGCCCAACACATCTCCATGTTGGTGTTTCCAGTTATAGCTGCAGCGTAATCGAGGCTACAGCACTCAGGAATGATGGTGACGTATTTTGACTTAATACCCTGGTGTCCTCCTTCCCACTCTATGTGCCTCACAGATGCCATTGGTTGCGCAAGTGAGATCATTGCTGTTCTCAGATCAGGTTTGATGTCAATGAATACTTTAGTGTTGCGCTGATGTGGTACTTATTAGACTAATGACAATATTGTGTTCCAGGGAAAATCAGGAAGCCAAATGTGAGTGTCTGCGTGATCGTTTTTTAAAGTACCCCGAAGTTTTAAAAAAAAACAGGGTCAGCAGCTTTTTCAAACTTATCCGGTCTACGGATTCGCCATTTTAGTCTGGATGGCAGGTGCAAACGTAGCGAAAGGTCTGTGTTTTAAAGTGAAAAGGTACATTGTGTGGATGTAGCTTGAGACAAAGAACAGCTGAGGTGCACTGTCTCAAGTGATATCAGGAATGTCTTTAACACTTTAGCATTTGCTCAGTCATTTCTGTTGCTTTTGGTTGAGCCTCAGAGGCAGGGCTTCAGTGAAAGCAGCATATACATACAAATCCCAAATTCTTTACGACAACTGTCAAACCATAGCCATAATTAGGGTTATTTAACCATCTATATGTCATATATGAGTATTTTTTCAGTAAAGCTTGTTGGGGACATTACAAAGCTTGAGAGGCTCCCTTCAGGGCTAAAAAGCCCCTTACAGATATTTAGCCAGACCTGTTCATACTCTCGTCCCAGTGTTCTTTAAACTTTGCATGCCCTCTTGGTTGAAAATAAGAAATACATCAACCTTGCACCTTCTTTCAGATAATTTTATTAGAAATCTGCAGGTTCGGCTGTAGTTGTCATGTGACTGCTAAAAATAGGAGTTAAACTGTTTACCTGAACTGTTCCTGTGGTGTGTCAGGGGAGTTGTAGAGTTATAATGCACTTTTTGCTTCTAGTGTTGATATCAGTTCAGATCCTTACATGTGATGTCAAAGGAACAATATCACAATGTCAATATCGGGACTCTCTTGGCCAACCAAACACACTGAGGAGCAAGAGGCAGTAGGGAAAGGCCAAGCGTAGGGGTAGCTGTATCTGTAGACTGATGTTTCTGGTCACTACAAGACTGTCGTCAGTTCAATTTACAGAGGTGAAGGACATGAACCTCCCTCAGGAAGTTTCTAGAAAGGCTGTTCTGAAAGGAACGCGGGGCGGGTGACATTCACACGTCTCCAATTACTGCACAGTTTACTTAACCTTTAATTTACATTAACTCGTATTTTCCCCTTCATATCATGGTCAGGAAGTTGTGATGCACTGAATGACAACAGTTAACATGACTTATCTTAAGTGTACAAAAGTGAACCTTGATCTCGACTCCTGAGTAAATTTAACAGTGTGGATAGTTACGGACGTGTTCCTCAGCTGACCTTTAGGGGAGCTCATGGCTCAATGTGGCATCAAGAGTATCAAACACCAAGTGTATCAGATTGATAAAAGCCTTTATAGTCACATAGTAACAGCTGCCTTCAAAAGCACACATTGAGACCACAGTTTTCAGCCCTAGCAACTTAAATTTCATAGTCTGACACGCAGGCACAGTGAGAATCTTTTTGATTCTGTCATAGCTGATGACAGTAATCATGTTGCTTTCTATGCTGAGAGCTCAGGTTCAGTCATAATTCACCATAACCACAGTTTCTCTCAGTCATAGCTGAACCTTTTAGAGTATGGCCTTAGCAGTGACAAATGGCTCTATAAATATCAGCGTTTGAATAGCTTGTGCTATTTTACCCACATGGCGTTGGCTAACAGTCACTGAAATCTAATTTTCAGATATCATAAACAGACATTGAAATGAAAAATAATTGTGGTAGTGGAATCATAACACACTTTCTTTTTCCTTTCTTCCAGGGCCTCCAGTGTTCCTAAACCTCCTCCTGTGGCACCAAAGGTACTGTAGCCCAACATGTCACTGAAATAACAGAAATGTATAGACACTTGAGTGCACAGTATAATACACAGTAATACGGTTTAGACAAGGCACACCAGGTGATACATTTTAAGATATTGTATTTTTAGTTTCAACCTTTTTCATTATTCTAAAATGTGATTTTATTTCTATTTGGCCATGAATACAGAATTATTTTGCCATGTAGATAATTTTGTTCATTTAAAAGAATCGAATCCCTTTGTAATTGACCAACTGTGGAGTTACTATGTAACAGGAAGAAGACTCATAATATGAAAAGTTATTGAATTAATGGCTAATCCATTATGACTGCATTGAAAGAAAAAAGGGAATTCACCTGGGGTACCATGTTTCAAGTGATTTGAATACTTTTCTTTAGTACCGCACCCCTCTGAAACGATGCCATACTCACAACTTTGCTCCATGAAAACCACCTTTGTCTTGATTTGTTATTTATTTTTTCTAATGTTGTTACATTTATTTTTAATTGTAAATGACTTGAGTTAAGTATACTGATGCTTCCCTATTACCAGAAACTTTATTATATAGAAATACCATAGGCTTTGTACAGTTTATAGCTTAGGGGACAAACACAAATCCATAAATCATAACCTGAGAGGCATCAGTATAGTGTGTTGTGATTGTGTTTGTATTTGCATGCTTTTCTCTCATGTCGGTAGGACAACAGATCAGACATCATAAAACCAGTGGCCCTCACCCATCTGCCTCCCTCACCCCATTCCCACCCTCACTCCACCATACCCTACAATAAGACCCCTAGACCTTACAGGGGTTGCGGAACAGAAAGCGAATACCCGGCGCCACAGTCCCCCTTTGCTCCCTTCATCCCATCACCATCCTCTGCCTTCACACCTGCCTCCTCCCACACCAGTCCGCTTCCCCCTCCACCTCCTGTTTCTTACCCATCCTCTTCTTCCTCCTCCTCCCCTCCTGTCCTCGTTCCACCCCAGCCATCAGTGTATAACACACCAATCAACCTCTACTCCAATGAGAACGCATGTGAGGTGGCCATGGGGCAGAGGCGGGGCCTATTGGAGAGTCAGGGCGGAGCCTTGCCCTTGCAGTTTAATGGGTGAGTGGCGTTCTCTCCAGCCAATCAAACAAATGATCTAGTCTCCGTCTTGGTTCTGTTCAAGCTGTCAAATGGGAGATAAGATGCTCCTTGATCTGTCAAATGTCTACTATATAATTTTTTTTCAGTGCTTCTTTTGGGTATATCTGTTACTGTCTCTGGCTCTTTTTTTTGGCTTATTTCTGTGGCTTATTTTCCCTCACAGACTTGTACAATAATAGAAATACATAAAAGCATTTGGAAAAACAAATATGTGCAGCAGCCAACAGCATTTGGTAAATGGTGTTTGTTTGCTTTAGAGAAAAACAGGCAATGAAGACTGAAATGAACTCAGTGTAAACTTCTGAAGTACTGAACTTAGTTTCTCTTAAGCTAATCACGTATATAGTTTACAAAAAAACATATTTCTTTCATGATTTACAAAGTTGCTGTTTTTCCAAGCCTAAAGTGTGTTTATCCCATGCAGCCTGCTGATCAGGCTCATCAGACTCCCAAGTTCCAAGAATCTTGAAATCTTGGAACCAATTTTCAAAGTTCTTCCACTTCATCAAATCAGATTCACATGTCTGTCGGTGTTTTGTTTAGAGGAGAAACAAAACACAGCAAAATACTATTCTCCACTGCACACAGTATTGAGATCCATGGTCTGAGTCAAGACAAGCCTGATTATAATGCTACCGTTTGTTAGTGTTAAAACATTTCTCAACCAAACCAGAAACAACGTGCACGTTTTTTTGTGTGTTTTGTGTCACTAGACAAACATTCTGTAAGTCATTTGTGTACTTTGTCGTGTTACAGAACTTAAACTACCAGTCTAGAAACACTGATATGTAAAGAAACCAAAGTTAGTTAATGTACCATAATGTTTACTGTAGGAACTTGAGAAGGGGGATTCTGTACAGAAAGACATTTAATAGCCGGGGTCTTGTGATGGAAAACTGGAGAATTGATGGACTTTAAATGAGCTTTTGATGTTCCTTTAAAATAATGGAACATATTAAAACATAACCTTTACGGGTTGAGAAAATTCTCCTACTTCCTAAGATCAATAAATTGTATACTGCTGTAGATTAACCTACCCAACAGTATATAATTATAGACTTAGCTCAGCCTTAACATCTACAGCAATATAATGCCACATCTGCATTAATGCATCAGTAATATTAATCCATAAACATCATATACAGTGGTGTGAAAAAGTATTTGTCCCTTCCTGATTTCTTAATTTGCTCTGTGTGAAAAAGTGATTGCACCCTAAACCTAATAACTGATTGGGCCACCCTTAGCAGCAAAAATTGCAATCAAGCATTTGCGATAACTGGCAATGAGTATTTTTCGGGAAATTTCATCTTTGCAGAATTCAGCCACATTGGAGGATTTGGGCTTTAACTGCTTTTTTAAGGTCATGCCACAACATCTTGATCGGATTCAGGTCAGGACTTTGACTAGGCCACTCCAAAGTCTTCATTTTGTTTTTCTTAAGCCATTTAGATGTGGACTTGCTGGTGTGTTTTGGATCATTGTCCTGCTGCAGAACCCAAGTGCGCTTCAGCTTGAGGTCACAAACAGATGGCCGGACATTCTCCTTCAGGATTTTATGGTAGACAGCAGAATTCATGGTTCCATTTACCACAGCAAGTCTTTCAGGTACTTAATCAGCAAAACCAAACCATCACACTACCACCACCATATTTTACTTTTGTTATGATGTTCCTTTTCTGAAATGCTTTGTTACTTTTGCGCAAGATGTAATGGGACCTTCCAAAAAGTTCAACTTTTGTCAGTCCACAGAGTATTTTCCCAAAAGTCTTGGGGATCATCAAGATGTTTTCTGGCAAAACTGAGACGAGACTTTACGTTCTTTTTGCTCAGCAGTGGTTTTCATCTTGGAACTCTGCCATGCAGGCCATTTTTGCCCAGTCTCTTTCTTATGGTGGAGTCATGAACACTGACCTTAACTGAGGCAAGTGAAGTCTGCAGTTCTTTGGATATTGTTGTGGGGTTTTTTTGTGACCTCTTGGATGAGTTGTCGCTGCACTCTTGGGGTAATTTTGGTCGGCCGGCCACTCCTGGGAAGGTTTACCACTGTTCCATGTTTTCATAATTTGTGGATGATGGCTCTCACTGTGGTTTGCTGAAGTCCCAAAGCTTTAGAAATGACTTTATAACCTTTTGCAGACTGATAAATCTCAATTACTCTGTTTCTCATTAGCTGAATTTCTTTGTATCGCAGCATGATGTCTAGCTTTTGAGGATCTTTTGGTCTACTTCACTTTGTCAGGCAGGTCCTATTTAAGTGATTTCTTGATTGAGAACAGGTGTGGCAAAGATGTCCCCTCCCCCCTCCCATTTTATGTCTCAACCCCAACTCTTCTTTCTCCAGAGGCATAGTGAGTAGTATAACTGTGCTATGATGCTATGACTAAGCTGTGTATATATAGCCTGCTTTGGTAACTCGAACTGTGTGGCATTCTCTCTGCTCTTGTAGCAAATCAGTCAGTCATTAAAGGTTTCAGCCTTGAATCCACGTAGATGTACACATACACTGTGTCACATCATCAAGCTATTTCTTCATTCACTTGTTCATTCCTTCTTTTAGTGATTCATTTCAAAACAAGGGGGTACCCATGGATGTTTTTGATTTATTGCACTCCAGATACCAAATGGACGGAATATGCTCCTTTTGTGACTCATAATCTCTCAATTCACTTGATGTTTATACTCTCTCTGTTCCCCTTTCTCCCAGCAACACACTGACGAAAGGATCAGTGTTTTTTGTTTCTGTGAGGCTCAGCAGACACCTGTCAATTTGCACAATATAACTTTACAGCCGTGCACACACGCACAGACACACAAGCTGTTGGGTACATAGCCATCCCCAAGTCTCATAGATGACATTTAATAGCATAGTGTAGTGTACCAATAGTGTGGATGTGTGCATTTTATATCAAATAAATTTGGACTACTCCAAATTTTTTCTCTCTCCCTGGGAGAAAGAAAAGGAGGGGATGAGATATCAAGTCAACAGATGGCTGAAGAGACCCCAAAGGAAGAGGTGAAAGGTTCGCTCTCCCTAACTGCTGTTTCTGGGCAGTCTGATCGTAAAACTGGCCTCCTTTGGCAGCAGTCGTGATAAGCCTCGGTGCCTGACTGTTAAAATGACAAAGAAACACTAAACAGAGATTAGCTTTCTCCTGAACAGCCTATTGAAACTTTTCTTAAGAAAAGGCAGGAAACCCTAAACTGCCCCCCTGAAATGCCGTTTAATGTATTTACCTGTCCATAATCTAATGCCAAGCGTCGCTCCCCGTGATCCCCCTCAACCAACCTGGGACGCAAGGCAGCGCTCTCGTCCACAGCCCCCTGAGACGAGGGGTCTGAGGACCATCATTCAGTCTCGGTGGGCCTGGGGAAAGAGGTCCTGAGGTTTCGAGTAGGGGGGCCCACTACCACCCCCCCCGCCTCCCTGTTGTGTTGGGACAAGAAGTTCACTCTCTGCTGGAGAAAGGGGCCATAGAACTTATTTCCCCACCAGTCAAGGAGTCCAGGTTCTACAGCCGGTACTTCATAGTTCCCAAGAAGGACGGAGGGTTGCGTCCGATTTTAGATCTCTGAGGAGATTCAGGTTCAAGATGCTTACCATCCCCGCCATCGTCAGTCACATCCAATCCGAGGATTGGTTTGTCACGATAGATCTGCGACATCTCCATCCGTCCCTCTCACAGGAAGTTCCTGAGGTTCGCCTTCGGGGGCCGCAGCGTACCAGTATCGGGTTCTTACGTTCGGCCTAGCACTCTCCCCTCGCACGTTCACCAAGTGTATGGATGCAGCTCTGGCCCCGATGAGGCTCCAGGGCATCCGCATATTGAACTACATCGACGACTGGCTCATTCTGGCCCAGTCTCGAGAGTTAGCGGTTCGGCATCAAGATGGCGTCCTCGCCCACCTTCAGCGTTTGGGGCTGCGGCTCAACGCGAAGAAGCCCTGTGGCAGCTGTGGGTCTGGCCCCTGAGGGGGCGCAGTTTGTGGAGGCGGGCCTGACAGCAGAAGCGGTCGAGACGCTACTGATTCGTTCCAGGGTTCCCACTTGGGACCTGGCAGGGGTTCTCGAAGCACTGGCTGAGGCCCCCTTCGAACACCTGGAGTCGGCTGAGGCCAAGCACCTGACCCTTAAGATGGCCTTTCTCCTCGCTATCACCTCTCTGAGGAGGGTGGGGGATCTCCAGGCACTTTCGGTTTCTCCCCGATGCCGGAGGGTCAGAGCCTTCCTGCACCCTTGTCCGGGTTATGTCCCTAAGGTTACGTCTAGTTTAGCAGGGTCCAAAGTGCTGCAGACGTTTCATCCCCCACCTCATGTGACGGTGGAGGACGGGAGACTTCATCTGCTCTGCCCTGTCAGTGCGCTTAGTATTTACGCTCTGAGGTCTTCCCGGTGGAGGAAAGCAGACCAGTTGCTGGTGTGTTTTGGGTCCCCCAAGGCTGGGCTCCCCGCTTCTAAACACACTACCAGCAACTGGATTGTTCAGACTATTCCTTGGCCTTTCAGGTGCGCGGGTTGCCTTCACCTATGGCCATGAGGCCACACTCTACTCGAGGCATGGCGGCCTCTAGGGCCCTCCTTGTAGGGGCTTCGCTCCAGGATTTGTGTGAGGCAGCTGGCTGGGCCACTCCTCACACCTTTATCTGGTTTTACAGTCTGGACCTTCCTTCTGCAAACGGCACCCGTGCGCTCTCTCCTCTTAGTCGTGCCTATCTGCACTCTGCGCATGCGTTGGCGTCTGTAGCCACCTGTCGGAAGCTCCGTCTTAAACCTAACTCTTATCCAGTTTTAATCCACTCTTTTTCGTTACATTTTTTATATCCTTTTTATTTAACTTAAGTTTTTAACTTAAGTTTTACGTGGGTTAAGGATTTTAGCCATCCGACATGGATTTTAAGCTAGATGACCATAAAAACGCGATCAACACTACTGATCGCAACAAAGCTCCGGTGACTATGCT